TGGCTCGGTTGTGGAGAGACTGGAACCCTTATTCACTGTTGGTGGGAGTGTAAAATGGTGCAACCACTGTGGAAAGCGATGTGGAGCTTTCTTAAAAAGTTGCAAAAAGAGATACCATTTGACCCAGCAATTCCACTACTGGGAATGTACCCTAAAGAGACCATAAATGGCATCCAAGTAGATATATGCATACCCATGTTTATTGCGGCTTTGTTTACACTAGCAACGAGTTGGAAACAACCTAAATGCCCATCAATAAATGAATGGATAGAGAAACTGTTGTATATTCACACTAGTTCAAGCACATTAATTTCTAACAAAAGTCACCCAACTTGTTGGTTCAACTTATTTTACTGTTTCTGTTTCCTTTTATCAAGTGCAAGTGCTTCAGTCCTTAGCCCTCATCAAGTGCAGGTGCTTCAGCCCTTTGACCTCTGTATTTTCTGCTGGACCATTAACTAACTAACTAACTAACTAACTAACTAACTAACTATATAATTTTTTTATATCCTTTCTCTGGGGTAGTTTTGAGTTCCATTATTTTAAACGAGTAAACTAATAATGTTTTACTTGCTTATTGAATTTCTGTTCATATTATGTAAGACTCCATCTTCTTGCATTATTTATTCCTGTTCACAAGTGACTAACTGTGGTGGAATTCATACTACATTACAAATCCCATTGTAAATTCATAAACTGTGTCTCAACTGGACTTCTAATACTCTCAGGATTTTATTATGTGTCTTTGGCCAATTATATCTCCCATTCCACTCAATAATCATTTAACATCTTGCATTCACTTTTAAAAATTTCAGCCCATCCACTTTGGCAAATTACATCCCAGTTATTTTCATCTAATTCCTATTACACGCACTCTATCAAGCTAGCTCTAATTAGCCATTAATGATTGATCTCTATCTTGCTAATGCAGTGAAACATTTCAGTTCTTACCATATTAGATGAACATTTTTGTAATATTTGACAACATTATTGGCCTTTCCCTTCTTTTTTGACACATTCATTCTCTTTACTTACCTGTGTGGTTGTGAGCTGACTCATAGTTGACCCTCTAGCAGGTTTTTAGAAATTGTAAATCACATTGCAGGTGATTGCCCATCTTTCTACTACAGAACATCTGATATATTTTTACCTTTGGATGGACAGTACAACTCCTTACCTCTCTTGTTGTTGTTGTTGATTGCCTTTGAGTTGAGCACGACTCATAATGACCCCATGGAAAAAAGGCCTGAAGCCCCTCTACTACATTTATCAAAGTTCATAGAGATTCCGGAGGCATGTTATTTAGGAAGTGGATCCTTATCTCTCTCCCTGTTTTTCTTCCCAGTTTTCTCTTTCAGCTTTCTAGACAAAATTATTCTAATCCATGTCACTGAAAAAACTTTTATGTCATTCTATTAGATGCCACCGTCACAACTCTAAAATGAAATTAATGAAATGGCTTCAAACCTTATCTTTGATCTTTGGTCTTATCTTTTTAAAAAACTATTTTGTATTGGTTTGCATGAAAAATTCATATACATTGTGTTTCATTCAAAGATTGTGTTTCACACATTTCTTCATTCACATTGTGTTTCCATGATCATTCCTGTACGTTGTCTCTTACAAAACTAATCACTATTTATCTATGCCCAATATTAAGTCTTTTAAGACCTCACAAAATCGCTCCTAACGTCTTCAACTCTAGTCCTTGTCAAGTTACAATAATTGATATAAACATTGATGTAAGTATAATGATATATGTTTAATGATACTTGTAAGTCTGTTGCTGCTGTTGTTTTATACCATTGAGTCAGAACTGACCCATTGCTGACCCTCCAGAGGGTTTTCAGAGATAGTAAATTGCAATGGGAGGAGACTGTTCATTGTTTTCCCACAGAGCAGCTGTGGAGACTGAGGCAATCTTCTGCCTTTGAGATTGAGATTGCAGTTTCTCACCACTAGGCCACCAGAGCTCCTCTGTGTAAGTGTAATAATAATTATACTTCTTCTACAATGAATACAAGTATCATTATATTTATCATATTCTAAATATACAAATGAAACATTCCAGTGTTTAATACAACCTTCGCTTTTACTCTTCATAGCTAAACCATCATTAAGTTAAAATTCCTTAAATAAATGTTTTCAAAATCAATTATATTTTCTCCATTTACATTGGCACCACTCTCTTCTAAATGAGAATATTTTAAATCTAGATACAAAAATACTTCTCAGTTATTTTTATACATTTATTCTTGCTTTATTTTCCCATTTCTTTTCCATTTCCATATAGAATTATCTAAAATAACATCAGTGGATATTTTACCTTAATCCTCATCCTGTCCTCTGCCCCCTTCCCATATAATTATACCCCTATTCATATTTCTTGAGATTCTTTTTAAGGTTCTGAATGACCTGAGACCTGCCTGCTTTCACTCCCACCTAGTGACATTCTTTCCCACTAGTCCAGTAATCTGCAGGTCCCCTTCTTACCTTTCTCTCCACCCACTTCACTATGGAGTATTTGAATACACTATTGTTTTCTTTTTTTTTTTT